CCTACGCCCAAAAGAAGTCCACGTACCAAGTTTCGTTAAGATATCTCAATTTTTACTCGAGTTATCGTGTGCACAGACGGACGGACGGACGGACGGACGGACGGACAGACAGTCACCGCTTAATCGATTTCTTTTTTCATTCTGATCATTTATGTATACATTTGTCTATATCTATCTCGATTCGTTTTGCCTGTTACAAACAACCGTTATGTGGACAAAGTTATAATACCCTTGTGCACAAGTGCGCTCGGGTATAAAAATGACCTTGCAACTTCTGCATTTGGGAAGCAATCTTTGACGTTGTAATTAAACAAAAGTTTGTACAACCATATTTCTTTGGTTACAACTCCTTGATTTTTTTCATAGTCGGGTTAAAACTGCAGGCACAAGTTTTTAAATTGTATTACCTCGTTCCTTAAATTCTCATCCAAGTCCTTTTCGATATCTCAAATAATTTTGTACTTTTTTCTAACATATCTTTATCACCGAGCGTGTCTAATTTGTTGAGGAACTCGAAACGTTCATGAAGAATCCTCTTTCTCAGCTCACTCCCAAATGCGTCGATTACAGGCATAAAACTTTGGGTTCGAAATTTATTTGATGGTTTTTAATGTCATCTAATTTTTAAAAATATTTTTATTTATATGTGCTTTATTTTTATTTAATTTTTTAATTTAATATTCTTTTATTTATTATTTCGCGAAGTGGGTGATATCAATCTGATCCCTATGATTGTGCGACGCATTTTCCTTTGCTTACTAAACTAAATCAGCTATGTAGTACTTAAATTACGTTGTATTACAATGTGAATCCCCTTCGATTAGGATAAAAATAGCAACTTAATATGTCTTTGATTGACTCGCCTTCAGTGCCTCCTGCGTTTCTAAAAATTGTAAATACTATATAATTTTTTCACGATTTATAATTTTTTCCTTTCTTAGTTTCATTAGTTTTTTATGTGGCGCGCCAATGCAGCCTGTGCTTAAATCCGACCCTGGATACATAGCAATAATAATGGTAAAAGTAACAGCTATGGTAATGGTAATGGCAATGGAAATAGTATTGGTAATGGTAATGAAACTGGTAATTAAATAGTAGCATTAACGGTAATGGTATTGGTAAAGGCAATAAAAAAGAAAATGGTAATTGTAATGGTACTGGTTATAGTAATGGTATTTGTAATGGTAATGGTATTGTTAATGGTAATTGCAACGGTAGCGATTATGGTAATGATAAAGGTATTGTGAATGGTAATTGAAGTGGTAATGGTATTGATAATGCTAATGGTAGTGTTAATGGTAATATTTAGTAATAACCTGTTAATATCTTGTTAAATAAATATATTAAACGAAAAGTGGTCTGCATGAGACGGCTTCATGCCAGATACCTTGTTTTTTTTAACCAGCTCTGTTTCAAAAAGAAACAAGTGGCATTGAGTCTCATCTATTTTTTACCCATTTCTAAGAAACGAATAGCCAACTCTGCCTAATGGCGGGCGGTTTTAGTTATAAGCATAAAGCAAAATCAAAATAAAATGAGCATTATGGCCAATTTGCTATTTCATTCAAACACGAAAGCGTATAGCATCAGTATGCCTGTATGTACATATGTATGTGCATACTTAGTCATAAATGTAATCCCATACCGGACACACCCACCTACATACTCACGTTAATTATTCAGCCGTGATTCGCACATAATAACATTATTTGTCAAAGTAATCCATCACTAACAGGCAACTAATACAATTTCTTCATAGCCAATGCGATTACATACATACATACATACATATGTACATATGTGGCGAACAACTCTTTGCATTGTGCATACAAAATAGTTGAATGCTTTTGTATAAGTACATACAAATGTACATAAGTATGTAAGTATTTGCACATATGTATGTACATATATAGTAAGTATGTAGCAATGGATATATAGACATCTGTAAGCATTTTCCATGACTGGGCATTTTTCACCGCAGCCGAGTACACTTAACTAAGCACTTAGGCAAATATGTCTGCAGCAAGTGCAAAAATGTTGCATTGCATTG